GATGAGGGCAACAAATGTACAAATGTGCTTGACACAATGGATGGATGGATGGATTGTGATAAGAGTTGTACGAGCCCCCAATAAAATGATTTTAAAAAACAAACAAACAACGCTGTCCTGGGGAATGGAATTAAAGTTATTAATTTGGACGCATAAAAATAATTAACGTGGCAAATACTATACACACATATATCAATAACCCTGCTATCGCACAGGCGGGATGCTAAGCTGGGGCATTACTTTAGGGAACCTGAAAAACCCAGTGTTGCTGAGTCAATTCCAACTCATGGTGGCAGGGCAGGGCAGAGCAGAACTGCCCAGAGGGTTTCCCAGCTGGAAGCGGCCAGACAAAGGCCCACCTTACAGACAGCAGCTGAGTACTTAGCCACTGGGCCCCCAGGGTTCCCAAGGAACTTGTAGGATGAGTTTCACTGGCTCAAGATGACACCGTTTACTAGGTAGACAAAAATAATCATTTAGAGGCAAAAATACAAAAAACATTAGTAAACCAGATGTGCTTAAATGTCATATGTTACCCAGTGTTTCTCATTTTGAAAGATCTCAACAGGATTATTTCAGATTTTTTTTAAAGTTAAAAAATAAAAGGGAAAAAAACCCTAGGTAGGTCTCTTCTTTGTTCTCTACCATTTCATCATTACAATCATCTACAGAAAGTTCAGCCGTTTTTCACTTAATTATATGCTTATGTCAACCAGTGGAGAGGTCTGGGGGGCTGGTCCCAGCCCCAAATACTAAGTGGATGCCTGCACCTCCCCCGAGAAGAAGTTATTTCAAAGGATGGCACTGAATCCGCAGCTCCAGAAGGATATATCTGATCGGAGCACACAGAAGCAGATGACGGGGGAGGAGGAGAGACTGGAGCACATCCTGGCCCACCAGGCCTTGAGGACGATGACCCCAATTAGAGCAGCCAGTCCACTGAGAGGACCACATGGCCAGCCCCACTATGAGACATGATGCCCCCCACTGACCCATAGCCCTGTGGGGGACAACACCAGAGACACAGTGTGGGAACTGCACCCGATCTGATCCCGCCACACTGAGGCAAAGCACTGGGGGAGTGCAGCGGAACAGCAGGGGAGGGGAGCAGCAAGATCCCCAGGGAATGATGAGGGTGGACTTTGGGGACAGGGCGTGGTGCCCCAACAGGCTGGACTGGAAAACACTCTTAAAGGCCAGCGATCCTTGAACTAAAAAAAAAAAAAAAAATTACATGCTTATGTCCTCTGAAGTAAAATTTACCTTGGATCAAGGAAAACACGATTCTATAAATTCCTCTCCTGAAACACAAGGCCAGATAACAACCAACGAGCCGCCTGGCAGTTTCCCCCAGGAAGCGAGGGCTACACCGACCAATGCAGCCAGGATTTACACTCACTGAGTCCTGGAAAGTCTCAGAGAACAGTAGCCCTCAAAAGAGCTGGCTCTCTCTCTCTGTCACTTCTAAGCTTTTCCTCCACAGAAACGGACATAGGCAGACACATCTGAAGTCCAATTTCTGGAACAAAATAACTGTTAACATACCGGAATACCGCCATGCATACAACTATTCATCCTCTGCCACGGGTGCTACGTGCCACTACAAAGAGACAGTTTGCATCTCACAGGTGGCTGGTGGCTGGAGCCACCTGTGAGACTCGGGAGTTTCTCCCGAGCTCTTGGTCTGACCCTAGAGTGCCTGACCCACCTCTATCTAACGCGGCTCTGGTCTGCTGATCCGGTTACCTCCTTGTGCTCAAGACACTCTCTTCTCTTCTTTCTATTTCCGTCTTTGGTCACGGTCCGGTTTACGCACCTTTGACGTGCAGGCCAGAGCAGGTCATGCCTTTCTTACCCTGGGCTCTCGGGCTACCTGTTGTGGATGGGGCCAATGAGTCTACTCACAGTGACCCCAAGTGACAGAGTAGACCTGCCCCCTTTGGGGTTTTCTAGATGGTGATCTTTACTGGAGTGGGTTCTCGGGCCTTTCTTCCATAGAGCAGGGGGGCAGTGTCAAATCCCCACCTCTGGTTAGCAGCTGAGCGCCTAACTGTGGCACTGCCTGGGCTCCTTCGTGAGAAATGTACCTCTCTCACCCAGAAAGTGCAGGTCTCTCTGTTTCTCTCTGTCCCGCCTGCCCTAGCAGAGCAGCGGCCGTCTCCTATTCATTTTTGAAACCCAGTGCCCGGTCCTTAGCTGCTCAACACATTCATGTATCACAAGAGCATTAAAAACAAGTAACTTTTACCTATGAACTTTCCAACGCCTTCCTTATATTCTGCCAAGACTTCGTGATGTTCTGCCCTGTAAGTAATATGGAAAAATCTGTAAGAGAACAGTGACTCATTGTGCCGACTGTTTCCCCAACAGCTGGAGCCCTCTCTCCTTCACACAAACCAGCTGTGTGGCAGGAAACGCAGTCTGCAACAAGGAAGTGCATCATTACCCGAGCCCCAGCTAACTAGACTGGGTGTACAAGGCAGAGGACAGGTTTTCGGTGTGCAGCGGTTCTGTGAGATGACAAACTATCTCAGAGTCCTTGCTTCAGAACAGTTGGCTTCTCCTCCTCCCTTGCTTCTTTCAAAATCGCTGTTATTCAAGCAAGCTGCAGGGTCTCTAAGTATCATGTCCGTATGGACGTTACAAGACATGAGCTAGCTCCAGTCCTTTCGTTTCCATACATTATTGCTAGCAAGTTAATGTGCAACAGGCCGGAGAAACCCTGTGGCTGGTGCCCAAAGACAGTCCCTAAGTCCCAAGTCCAGCTCTCAGGAAGCATTTCCTGCCCCACCAGCCCTAAGAACAGAGACACCGAGAGCATTATGGGAACTTATGAGGCTTGGGGAAAAACCAAAGCGGCTCTTAATATAGGTCTGGCCTGTGGTTTCCAGATTAAAACCAGGTGATGCATATCAGCTACCTCTCCGGATTTCACTCTGCAAATCTGCAACGTTTACACATATGACAGTCCTCCTCTCTGCTGCACCTTCTTAGGGTAATGCGGCTGCTGCCAGAACGGGTCAGGCCTAACACTTACAGTGAGGACAGAGTGAGCTGCGCCATGGCAGGAACCCCGTGGATATTACGCAGCGTGTGTTGGGTCAGGTGTGGGGGAGAGCCGGTCTTGGTGTACAGGAGGCAGCCTGGGATGTCCATGGTGCCGGCTCCAGTTTTACCCACGTTGTTCAATTTTCCTAGGCGACAGCCATTAACCACTTTGGTGAGACTCAACTTCATCCTAAGGCACTGTTCTAGATCCTGAAAAGAAAAGAGCCTTAAATTTAGAAGAAGCTCCACAACGTGTAAAGGCTAAGCGTTTTGGGGGGCCAGGGGTGGGGTGGAGAGAGAACAAAGAGTGACCTATCTGAAAAATCAGAATAGCATGTTGATTACTCTGTGCTGGGATGTTTGCTCAATGTTCACTTGCTCTTGTATATAAATCTCTTTCTTATACACATAGGTGTGTCCATGGGTTTGTTTCTCCAGTCTACACACTCCTATTCTCACTCTCACCACCATCGAGTCAATGCTGACTCATGGTGACCCGATAGGACACAGTAGAACTGCCCGTGAGTTCCGGAAACTGTAACTGTTCATGGTAGTGGAAAGCCCAGTCGTTCTCCCTTGGAGTGGCTGGTGGATTCAAACTGAGGACCTTGCAATTCGCAGCCTGATGTGGAACCACCACACCACCAGGGCACCTTAAGTTTTTTATTATGTAGTACTTAGACATTCATGTATGGGTTTTGTTTTTTTTTAATGTACTGGGAGTGATGCAATCTATTAATCCAAGCACAGTTCTCAAGACACAGAACCGACAGTCTCCAAAATATCGTCTGGTTTCTTCTTTACCTTTATTTATCGCCTTTATCTTTTCACTGTGTGGGTCTCTCCTCGATATGTTTGGTGCTGGTGCTGTTCTAAATATACAAAAACTCACACTTCTCTCCTGTAGGAGTCCTTCAGACAGTCTCCCTGGAGAGAACAATCATTAGAAGTTAGAGACGAGTGATAGACAGGAGGTCAGTACCTTTGCATCTTTCCAAGAACTAACAAGCATTTCCTGGACCGCTGATGGGTTATCCCTGCCCCAGCAACAGCTATCCCTCTCGAGGAAGATGGGCTTGAAAAGTGATTCTCAGATGGCTTCTCTACATGCCGTCCTGCGAAGAGGCCCACAGTGTGTCAGGTGAAAAGAACGAGCTCATCTGACGTCTGTGTGTGTGAAAGAAAAACTGTGTACGTGCTCATAAATACACATTCATTCCTCTTCTGCTAGCATACACGTGACACAATGTTTGCGAATCTACAGCAAAAAATCGACATGTGAGACTTCCACACAATAGCTATGGAAGCAGTGATGATTCTGTGGTAGACTTCGCCCCTTACCTAGAGAAAACCAGGGTTCAATTCCTGGCCAAGTAGAGCTACCACTCAACCATCAGTGGAGATACGTGTGTATGACACTGAATAGATTTCACTGGAGCTTCCAGACCATCACGGATTAGGCAGAAAGGCTACTGGTCTATTTCCAAAAATCTGAGCCAGCGAAAATCCTGTGGCTCCCCACTGTCTGAGCCCAGGATGTACAGTGTTAGCATGAGTCAGGAGAGGACAAGAGGGCAGCAATAACAACATGGTCCACTGATCTGACTCAGAAAGACAGACATGACGAAAGTACAAATACTAGAAAAAAATAAAAGTAAGACTACTCACAGGTATTCTAAAATCCTTACATCATTTTTTAAGAAGACAGACATTGTGAGCAGTGGTCAACTTTTGAAAGTAGACATATGTGTTTAAAACAGGCTCAAAATGGTTCGGTTATGGTAAATGGAAACAAGGGCAGTTTATACAACGTGTAGCAATCAAATCTCTTGCATAGATATTTTGGCCTGAGTAGAAGAGAAATTGTGATACACAGGTGGGGGCCCAAAGACTGTGGCTGATATGCATTCAAGGTGGTACAGTTGGCCACCCACCAGCTTTGAGTGGGGTCCACTGCCTCTTTCCTACTTGGGTCAGAATTCGCCAGGCAAGAGATTTGGTGGTTAAGCAATGAGTGCACTCCCTTTGTTTTCTCTAGCCACGGCGAAACCATTTCACACTGATCCCAAAGCCCTGGTTAGAAACATAAATGCCAGCATTGAAATATCCGTGGCAAAATACATACTCCTAATTTCCCTGTCCCCTGGGAAAGAAATGGCTATTAGTCCGATAAAAGGCAAGAAAGAAGAGACCAAAAATCACGTGCACATAGAAAAGACAAAGAACCGAAATAAGTCCAAATATGTCCATGATCACAATAAAAGTTGATGAATGAAACTTACATAATAAAAACAGCAGCACTTAACATTTGTTAAGATTCACTAGGTCTCAGGTGTAGGAGCCAGGGCATAACAGGTTACCCGTTGAGCTGCTAACACAAGACCAGCAGTTCAAAACCACCACCAGCTCCACATGAGAAAGATGAACCTTTCCACTGTTCAGTTAGTCTCTGAAATCCATAGGTGTAGTTCTAGCCTACCCGACAGGGTCGCTCGGGGTTAGAAACAAGTCCATAGCAGTGAGAGAGAGATACCTCAAGTATTGTTTTTGACACATTAGCTCTGTGTGTCATATCAACCTCATGCGGTAGATGTGATTCCTGTCTGCATTTTACAAACGAGGAGGCTAATCCTCAGCTGCTAAGTGGCAGAGCCAAAACGTAAAGAATCCTGGTTTTCAAGACTGTACTCTAGTTGGTTGGAAGCCAATTAGAAGTTTCCCCTGTCCACACATATGTTAACTACTGATGATATAATTTTTTTAGACTTCTATAGCTATTAGGAGCCCTGGTGGCAATGGTTACTCAAGTTGGGCTGTTGACTGCAAGGTTGGCAGTTCAAAACCAACAGCAGCTCCAGAGGAGAAAGAAGGGGCTGTCAATTCTCGTAAAGGTGCAGTCTCAGAAACTCAAAACAGATCTACTCTGCCCGATAGGGTTGCTATGGGCCAGTACTGACTCAATGGCAGTGAGTTTGGGGCTCTGTGTATAGCTATGATTTTTCCTTATCTTCCTCCTTAGTCTCCACTCATCCTTCCAGATGCATAACCTTTCTCCATATTCACACAAACATTTAACATGCTTGCATTCAGGGATGGGGGTGGGTCATGGTTTGGTTTTACAGTTTGACAACAATTATACTACAAAGATTTCTCTGCAAGTTGATCAGACATCAGAGCACAAGGGAGCAAACGAAGGGGGAGGAAGAGAGAGTGGAGCACATTCTGGCCCACCAGGCCTGGAGGACGACATCCCCGCTCTGAACAGCCAATGCACAGAGTGGACCATACGGCTGATCCCACTACAAGACACACCATCCCTTGCTGGCCCAGGGCCCTAAGGAGGACAACACTGGAGACTCAGTGTCGGGACTGGCCCGGACTGACCCCGTGACACCGAGGAAAACCACTAAAGGCATGCAGCAGAGCAACCGTGGGAGCAGAGCAGGGAGCCCCCGAGGGAGTACAAAGGACAGAGTCTGGGGCCAGAACGTGGCACGCCATCGGACCTGACTGAAGGACGCGCCTAGAGATCAAAAATCAGACCTTGATCTATTCACAGGCTTTTCTTTCTTTTTAAATTCTTTTTCTTTTAATTAATTTATTCTTTTATGGGTCATTGGTTTTCTTTTTTGTTGTCATCGCTGTGTTCTCATTCGCCGCCTATCTTGCTTTGGCTTGATTTTCAGTGCACATTATTATCTCTACAGACCTATCTAGATAAGATAGACTGGATGAATAGTATGGAGGAGAAAACAACGGGGCCAATGGTTCTGGGGGGACATGGGAGAGGGGGAGGGAGGCGGGGTAAGGAGGTGGTGCTGACCAACCCAGGGGCAGGGAGCAACAACTGATCCAAAATCAGTGGCAAGGAGGGTGTGAGAGGCCTGGTAGGGATTCAGCAACGGCAGTGTAACCGAGATAAATGACTGAAACCCAAATGAAGGCTATGCATGATAGTGGGACAAGAGGAAAGCAAAAAGAAATAGAGGAAAGAACTAGGGGACAAAGGGTACTTATAGAGGTCTAAATACTGGCATGTACATATGTAAATATATTTATATAGGAGGGTGGGGAAATAGGTCTATGTGCATATATTTATAGGTTTAGTAGTAAGGCAGCAGATGGACATTGGGCCTCCACTCAAGTACTTACTCAATGCAAGAACA